CGTCCCCGGGCAGCCCCGGCCCTCCCGGCTCCCCGCGGGCCCGGGGCTGTGCCGGGCTGCGGCCGGCCGGGTCCTGAAGAGTCTTTCTCGTCCTGCTTAGGAAACGGCGCTGGAGCAAGAGGCGGCCCTGGAGGAAGCGGAGGAGCCGGTGCAGGTGAGCGGTGCCGGGCGGATCTTTGCGGGACCCGCAGCAGCGAGCTCTGGCGCCCCTAGTCCGGGGGGTGGGGGCGGTTCTGGTCCCTGCACCGACTTCTCCTCACTCCGCCCACAAAGGCAGATGCGGAGGAGGAGAAGGAGCCCAAGCTCCGAGACACGCCGGAGGACATTTCCTTTGAGGCTTCAGCCAACACCATCGCTTTCCACCCCAGCCGGGACATCATAGCCGCAGGGGATGTGGACGGTGACGTCTACTTGTGAGTTTGACTTATCTGGGCAAAGAGCATAACTGGCAGCAAGTAGTACAGCCAGTAAACCCGGTGGGCTTTTCTGTGAACCAGTTGGTATCTAAAGTGCTACCCTGACTTACCTTCTGCTTGACTTCACACTAACACAGTTAACCCCTAGAGACCAGTACTGCTCAGGTGCTGTGGAGAGAGACTTATGTGTTGTCTGCTGTTGATTGAGGTCAGTCGCTCGGTGTTCAGCCTACCCCGCCATGGTCTAATAAGGCCAGGTGCAGCTGTTGGAGAGGATGGTGCCAGAGGGTGGAGCCTTGGAATTGGAGACAGTTCTTGTGGAGAGTGGTGTGAGCTCAGTTATCCTGCTCCTTGCCCCTGGGCTATGCTAGTCTGAAGAATCAGCCTGTTCTCTGCAGAGGTGGGAGAAACAGATTAAGTAGAGCTGCTGCCAGTCTCAGAGCAGCAGTGGATGGGATACTGTAGTGGTTGGGATTCTTCTGTCTGCAAGGGCTCAGTCTTGGAACAGACCCTTGGCTGGTGTTGTTCCATTTCACCACTTGATGTTGCCACAAATGTCTCAGTGAAGCAGGCATAGTAAGCAGTGTCTGTGCTTCTTAGGGCATTTCTGCACAGCAGAAGGAAGGTGCAATTGTAGTTCGGATGTATGTAGTACCCTGCCCTCCCTTTAACTAGCATGGGTAATGGAATAGCGATGGCATGGCAGTGTGGGCTCTACCAACCAGACTGTATGCTTTTTAGGGATGTACAGTTGCCAACCAGTGCTGAAACTTGTGCCAATGTGCTTTCACAGCTATGCTAGTCGGGTTAAATTCAGTGCGACTGAACTTGCCTGTGTTACAATTGTCCTCTTGTTCTGCTACACAGACGTGGAATGAAGGGTAGAATCATCCCTCTCCATATGGTCCAAGACAGGATATTTGTCTAACTTGCACTTAACAACTTCCAGGGACTGAGTTTCCACATCATCTCTAGGTAATCTGTTCCAGTGCTTAACCACTGTCAGCAGTAGGTTCTTCCAAAGACCTAACCTTCATATACCTTTCTGCAATTTAAGCTCTGTACTTTCTGCTATGTCCTTTGTGGGCTTACCTTCATCATTTCTACATCAGCTCCCAGCTGGGATGATGCCTCTTTAGTAACCTTCCCTGGGTGGCCTCTAGACAGATTTGTAAGGAAATCAGCCCCAGATGTTCCCTCTCAGTCCTTGTGGTCTGGGGACTCATCTCCTCCCAGCCTGGGCAGATGCCAGGTCTTGGTGGGAATTGGTAGAAAGCAGTCCTCTTCCATCAGAGGAGCTGGAGCTTGATGCCTCGGTGATGCTGTTTTCTTTTCTTCCTGTTGCATAGTCAGAATTTCTGTTGTGTTTAGAATTTTCATATGAATTCAATACCTTGAAGCTCTTGTCCAGGCTTTCCTTCTACCTCTAGGGCAGCTGGTAACTACCACTGGGATCTAATCATGGCACATTTCCTCCCCCCTCTAGTCCTGCTCCCTAAAAGCCTGTCCTTGGTCATGGATCTCCTACTTGGTCCTGCACCAGGATGTCCCCACCTCTGATGCATGTACTCCCACAGCTGCGCTTTTTGGTTGGATGGGTAAAGCAGGGGGCAGTTCCCTGTTGCGGTGCTCTCAACAGCTTGCCTTTGTTTCAGGTATTCATACTCCTGCCTGGAGGGTGGGAACCAGGAACTCTGGTCCTCTGGGCATCACCTGAAATCTTGCCGGGAAGTGTCATTTTCCCACGATGGTCAAAGTGAGTGCGCTTCTCACTGGCTATTCCATTCTATTGTAGCAAGCAGTGTAGCTCCCCTGGGGGTGGGGTTAAGCTGGCTTTTGTGGGGTAGCATTTCTTCCTAAGCTGTGAAAAGCATGCTTTGCAGCAGCATGTTATAGGGTGTAGAGCATTGCTTTAATTGAATCAGGACAAGCTGGCTGGTACCTGATCTCATCAGGTTGCTGACTTGGAAAGGAGGCCTGCTGGGGAAAAGTAGTTGCTGAAAGGGGCTGAACCTTATAGCTGGTGGTATTGTGGATGAGAAGAGGTGCCTGTTAGTAGCAGGGCTAATGGAGCAGAAAGCCTATGCATGAGCCCTGGTGAGGGGAGTGAACAAGCTGTAGAGTGGAGGAAGAGGCTGTAGGGCTCCCATGCTGAGATTCCACCTTCTGGCTCACTGAAATTCCAGGGGTTTTCTTCCTGCAGCTCAGTATCCTACTCTGTTGTATACAAACATGGAATTATGGTTCTCCAGCACAGAGCGAGGGTTCTTGGCTGCATTGACTACCATGTAACCCAGTGGTAACAGTTGGCAGGGTGGATTCTAGATGGGGCTCATGGGATGCAGAGTTCCAGCATAGGTGCTGGAGTGGGCAATTCTCAGTCTCCTTGACCTGGGTGCTCCTTGCTCTGGAGGCTGGGGGTGGATGGAGCTGTGTATGTGAGGTGCTTTTGCATCTTGTCTCCAGAGCTCTTCACAGTGTCCAAGGACAAATCCATCCATATTCTGAGTGTGGAGGAGGGCCGGCTGGTGACACGTTTCCTGAAGGCTCACAGGTATGCACCACCAGGAGCCTCCTATCTCCATGTGCCCATCTATCCCACTCCTTCCTTGTTGAGCTGCTGCACAGCAAGAGCCTACTGGGACCAGGCTGGAGCCTTAGAGCAGGAAGGGCTCTTCAGATGGCTGCTTCTCTCTGGACTTTCCCAGGGCCAGTGTTTCCCTTAACATAGGCAGTTCTCCTTGTTAAGGAACTGAAACTGTGCCTGGCCCTCTACAGAGGGTGACTGCCCTGCCCTCCACTCCTGAGAGCTTGGATGGACTGTGGATAAGGTGGGGCTAGGAAGCATCTGTCTTGATGTCCTGCTCTTTGCCCTGTCCAATAAGGTAATCCAGAAGCTCAGGTTGAACTGTTGCATGTAGAACAGATTCAGAGACAAAAGGCCCCAAGAGGCCATGGGACTGAGACTGTCCAGGTGACCATGTGTAGCTGTCCAGAGCGCTCCAGCTGACTTGAGGGAAGCTGCTTTCAGGTTGCTTTTAGTAAGAGGGAGATGATAAGAGGAAGTGGAATGATTCCCTTTCCCCAACATGCACTGAAAATACAGCCTCTCCCCTCTGTAAGTGAACAGAGGAGGAGCACTCCCAGCTCTTTCCAGGCACCCTGTCCTGGGGGGAATTCAGTGTTCTGGGAGTGCCTAAAGCTCCTCTCCCCAAATTCACTCTGTGCTGAGCATTGAGACTAACATGGGCTTACAAATAGTGAGGACCTCTCTGAGGTGCCTCTGGGTTCCTGCTGGGGGGTAGGGAGGGGGAAAAAGTTACAGGGCTGCCTAAGGTAGAATGGTTCTGTTGCTGCCACAGTCAGCCCATGACCCTTCTGATGATTATAAGGAGGTGGGGGGGTGGGTCTCTGCAGCTCTGCCTTGAACAGCCTACTGGTGATAGATGAGCACCTGTTTGCCACGGGAGATGACAATGGAATGCTAAAGGTGTGGGATCTCCGCAAAGGGACTGCTTTCATGGAGATGCAGCAGCATGAGGAATACATCAGTGGCATGGCAATAGATGAGAACAAGAAGCTCCTGCTCACCACCAGGTAATGCTAGGCTCCCTGCTTTTGGCCACTTCATCAGGGAAAGTCATGGTTTCTGTGTTCATGTTAGCCTGATGGGCTGCAAACCCTACACTGAGGCAGCTGAGAGCAAACTTCCTCAAGGGTGGGAGAAGGGATCATTTTCACCAAGTGGATCTGGACTGCAAAGAAGTTGGATCCGGCATGGGGAAGCTCTGACCCAACCTGCAGCAGCACAGGAGATCAGACATACTGCACAGTGCTTCATGTCCCCACTGTAGATCCTGCTGCTCTGTTCTGCGTACACTTACCCTTGCTGCAGAGAGGCTAGGTAGCTGCAGGGAGGGCAAGCACAAGCAGCTTGAGCACTTGGGGAGGGGGTCAGGTTGCAAGCATGATTCAACCCATGTCAGAAGGTTGCCATCTCTTGTCTTAGTCTTTATATTGGATTTTTCTTCCTGGAAAATCCCAAAGCACTTCCCAAACTGAGGGGGTCACTTATGTTCCCTTACGTATAGTTATTTTTGGGTCTGCATAAGAATCTGACTAGCCAGGGTAGGGAAGAAAGTGAAGAGTTCTACATCCAAGTGACAGTGCAATGTGCTGGTTTGATTCCCGCAGTGGCGATGGAACCATGGGTGTCTTCAATCTCAAAAGACATCGCTTTGAGCTGCAGTCAGAGTCTCAAAATGGAGACCTGACATCCATTGCTCTGATGAAGGTAGGTACTTACTGGCCATCTTTGAGCAAGTGCTGTCTGTATGGGTTTTTTCAGCTTTCACATGGGGGGAGGTATAATGGGGCCTACCATAAAGCAAAGGCCTTAATTTCCCTGTCCCTGGAAAGCCATTTCTCATGGGAGCAGCACTGGCTTCTCCAGGGTCCTTTAATAGTCAGCCTTTCGAGTCCGAGATCTCTAAAGTTATGTCTCTACTGCTACCTTAGGGCTGCTGCCCAGCTCTCACTTGAGCCTAAATGTATTATCTGCATTACAAACTTTTAGCTCCCTGATGTCAGCCTTGCCCCTCCTCAGGAGCTCTCCTGTGCTGCAGGGCTGGAGGCTGTGTTTCTCAGCTTACCCCTTCCACTTCTCTGCACCTTGCCAGAGTTCAGAACTCACCAGAGTGTACCACAGGAAGTTTGCCACTGGCCCTTCTGCATCCTGCCTGTGCTGATAGCGCAGCGGTATGCTAGTTGCCTATTGACCACGCAGTCCTAGATTCAGGATACATCTGTGGCTGGCCAGGTGTGGCTTTTTTGAATTCCCTGCAACCAACATCCGCATGCAGACAGGGGATTCCCTCTGCAGGCCTCTGTCCCTGCAGTACAAACCTTTCCAGCCCAAACAGGACTTCCCTCCACAGGTCCCTGACCAGGCAGCTTCTCCCACCTAGCTTACCAACCCCTCCCTACTCTTTCTTTGGGTCCCGTGTCCTTGATTGCACAGTTCTGACCCTGGGTTGTAATCTTCACTCTTGTTCCTGTTTTGTCATTTATATTGCTGTGTAGCTAATGGCCACTCTCTAGCTTTTGGGGGTGGGGCTTATACTTCCTAGTGAGCCTAGACCTACTGTCTACAGCCTGTAACTAGTGAAGTGCAGAATAGACCGGTATGGAATGTGATTCCTAGAAAGGCTGTATGAGTTTTCTGTTCCTCTAAGAATCCATCTGCCCAATGTCTCTCTTTCTGTGCTGTCTGCAAGTTCCTGCAGGGAAACAGTAAGGTTAGACAGGGAAGGGCATTAACTTGCCCAAAACAGTTGTAGACATGCCCTCAGTTAAATACATGAGCTTACTTCCCCTTCGTTTTTTACTTCTGGGCTAAGAAGAAAGGAGCTCCTTCTGTCTCTTGTTCACTGAACTTTGACCCATTGCTGTTAGGATTCCTATGGGGAGGGAAGGGAAGGGGAAAACCCTGAACTGCTGCAGTTTCAGCTCAACTCTTCTCTTCCAGAGGGGGAAGAAAGTGGCTTGCGGCTCCAGCGAGGGAACCATTTATCTATTCAACTGGAATGGCTTTGGTGCTACTAGTGACCGCTTTGCAGTGAAGGCAGAGTCCATCGACTGCATGGTTCCAGTCACAGAGAATGTCCTATGCACAGGCTCCATTGATGGAGTTATCAGGTTAGAGTGTCTGGTGACCCCAATACCTCCCGGAAGTGCTGCTGGGAAAGGAGGCTTCTTGCAGGGCTGGGAGGATATTAAGATAGGTTTTGAAAATGGCAAATAGCAGGGAAGACAAGATGGGAGGCTTGGGGAATAAAACAGGAGGGGAAACAGGACAACTATCAGGAGAGACCTTGAATTGACAAGTGGAAGTGAGGAAGAGGTTCCAAAGGGAAGGATGGGATCCTCCTTGCCATGGTATTTGCAGGTACAAAGTCATGGAGGATATGCTATAAGCAAAACTGACACCAGGGGACCTGAAGCATTTAATGCAGGGGTAGGCAAACTGCAGCCCACGGGCTGGATGCGGCCTGTCAGGCCATTCTATCCGGCCCACGGGGCCCCTAAAAAACTTAAAAAATTAATATTTATCTGCCTCTGGCTGCCTGTCATGCGGCCCTCAAATGGCATGCTAAAACTCGGTAAGCGGCCTTCCGCCCAGAATAATTGCCTGCCCCTAATTTAATGGATCCCTCTAGGTCAGGGGCGGACAATTATTTCAGGCGGAGGGCCGCTCACTGAGTTTTGGCAGCCAGGGGCAGATATATATTAATTTTCTATATTTTTTTTTTTAGGGGCCCTGCGGGCCAGATAGAATGGCCTGGCGGGCTGCATTTTGCCCATGCCTGCTCTAGGTGCATCCACGAAAGGGCCATTGGTGGGGATCTCTTCCAAGGATGGAGGCGGTTTAACTGGAGGGAATGAAAACAATCCTGCCTTCTTTCTTCTGTCTGTCTCTCTGGGTGGCTTTGTTCTCAGAGCATTTTCCTTCCTGGCTTTAAGCTGTTCCAAGGGAGTCATGACAGTGTTACAGTCAGAAGGGCTGGAATATTGGTCCCACATTACTGCTTCCTGAAGCTGTATCCCTCAACCCCGTGCTGATCAAGGCAAGGGGTGTGGGAGTATGCATGGCTATTGCAGAGCAGACTATATTAATTTATGCTTCCGTTTTTGTCCTAGGGCTGTGAATATCTTGCCAAATCGGGTCATTGGCAGTGTTGGACAACACCTGGGAGAGCCCATTGAACAGCTAGCTAAGTCTCACACTGGGCAGCTCTTGGCCAGCTGTGGCCATGACCAGAAGGTGAAGTTTTGGGACATCTCGTCACTCAGCTCCATAGTGGTGGATGACTACAGGAAGAGGAAGAAGGGTGGGCAGCTGAAGGCCCTGAGCCGCAAAGCCTTTGGGGGTGGAGACGACTTCTTTGCTGACCTAAGAGAGGAGATTGAGGCCCCAAAGGAGGAAGAGGAGGAGAAGGAGAAAGAGGACAGTGATGAGAGTGACAGTGACTGAAGGCCTAGGGAGGCTAGCTACATGGCCAGAGTGGGTCCAATGGAGGTATGGACTGGTGAAGTCAGCAGAATGGGAAAGAGGCACATCCTTACTATGGTGTGAAAGCAGCAGGAAGCCAAGCCTGTTTCTTTATCTTTAAAAGATGCTGGGCAAAGGACTGAGTGAATGACTTGGTTTCCTGGAACAGCCTCAGCACAACTGCAGGCAGATCCTCTGTCTCTTCATGGGAGACCCAGGGCCTGCAGCCATCTACCCAGTGAAACCACCTGGTCTTGTATGAAAAAAATGCATCCTTGGAAACAATGCATCTCAATGCCCCTTTTTCCTACCCAGCCATCTATCTTCCTGTGCCTTGTCATGGACACTAGGTTGATGCTCTGTCTGACCTGCCGACCAGCTCCTGAGTTCCTTCCACAGAGGCACTTGTTGGTCAAGAGCTTGGAGGTAGCATTTGATGCCCTAAGACGGGGTGGGCAAAGTCCAGTCTGCAGGCCGGATCTGGCTAACAGTGTACTCCATTTCCCAGCAGCCCCTGCCCACATGGCTGCTGGTGGTCTCTATGGAGACCCCAGCAGCAGCTGCACTATGATAGCAAGGCTGGGGTTGCCATGGAGACTGGCCTCAGCCATGCTGCCAGGGTGTGCAGCAGGGGAGGGGTCTACTCCAGAGCCATTGGGATCTTTGCGGCAGGGGCAGCTTGGTCTTGGGCTAGGGCACAGCCACAATCTGCAACCTAAATGCTCCAGGCAGGGGCGCATGGGCAGTAGATTGCAGCTCTGCCTTGGCCCTGGACCAAGCTGCCGCGGCTGCAAGATTCCAGTGGCTCTGGAGCAGCCCCCTGCCCTGCCCTGCAGTATGCACTGCCAGCCTGGCTGGGGCTGGCCTCCATGGTGACCCCAGCCTTGAGCTATGGCAGCACAGCTGTGGCTGAGGTAACCATGGAGACTGGCCCCAGCTGTGCAGGCAGGGGTTGCTGGGAAATGGAGTCTGGCTGCTGGACGAATCTGCCATTTTGCACACCCCTGCCTTAGGATCAACCGCTGCTTTCCAAACTTATTTTTTTTGAGGTGACTGTAGTGAGCATTGCATGAGCCCCATGGAGCTGCCCAAGTTTGAAGTGGCTTGGCCTGGCTTGTGTAAGTACCTAGGTGGGTCTTTCTTGGGATCTGGCTGTACGTCTAAAGCAGGTGCCTGAGCTGCGTGCTTCCCCAATGAAAAGCCCAACTCTGGGTGGGGAGAACCCTTAGCTCGTCTTTCAGGTGCATGAAGCAACTTTTTGTGCACTCTTGCACCTTCAGTAACACCCCTGGTGTAGAGCAATGGTCTCCAAACTTTTTTGATCGTGCACCCCTATTAGTAAAGTGTTTCTGAGCACACACCCCCAATATATATATGTTTATATAAATAGAAGTTCTAATATTTTCGTCCCGCACCCCAGTGGATCATCTTGCGCGCACCCCACTTTGGAGACTACTGGTGTAGAGGAATGGAAGGCAGAACGCCCTGGCTAGAGGCAGCATTTGTTGCGTCCCTGTCCCCAGGAAGGCTGGTTCTGCATGTTCTCTTGGAAGTGCTGAAGCCGGCCTGGATGTGCTGGGTAGGCTGCAGTGAGTTAGAGCACGATCAAAATCCCCAGCTACCTTCACAAGCTTCTCTTAAAGTCCTGTAGAAGGAGAGCACAATAACCAAATCCACAAGCTTTTTCCACTGCAACAGTCACAGACATTGTGCAAATAAGAAACTGGGCCAGTAGGTAAGTACTTCCTCTTTCAGGAAAGTAACCACAGGATCTGCTGCTAACTAGTCTGTGAATAAACCATTAAACCCCCCCCCCCCAAAACCTGCTTCCCAAGCTG